CATGCGCCCATGCTCTCATGCGCCCATGCTCTCATGCGCCCATGCTCTCATGCGCCCATGCTCTCATGCGTCCATGCTCTCATGCGCCCATGCTCTCATGCGTCCATGCTCTCATGCGCCCATGCTCTCATGCGCCCATGCTCTCATGCGCCCATGCTCTCATGCGCCCATGCTCTCATGCGCCCATGCTCTCATGCGCCCATGCTCTCATGCGCCCATGCTCTCATGCGCCCATGCTCTCATGCGCCCATGCTCTCATGCGCCCATGCTCTCATGCGCCCATGCTCTCATGCGCCCATGCTCTCATGCGCCCATGCTCTCATGCGCCCATGCTCTCATGCGCCCATGCTCTCATGCGCCCATGCTCTCATGCCCATGCTCTCATGCGCCCATGCTCTCATGCGCCCATGCTCTCATGCGCCCATGCTCTCATGCGTCCATGCTCTCATGCGCCCATGCTCTCATGCGCCCATGCTCTCATGCGCCCATGCTCTCATGCGCCCATGCTCTCATGCGCCCATGCTCTCATGCGCCCATGCTCTCATGCGCCCATGCTCTCATGCGCCCATGCTCTCATGCGCCCATGCTCTCATGCGCCCATGCTCTCATGCGCCCATGCTCTCATGCGCCCATGCTCTCATGCGCCCATGCTCTCATGCGCCCATGCTCTCATGCGCCCATGCTCTCATGCGCCCATGCTCTCATGCGCCCATGCTCTCATGCGCCCATGCTCTCATGCGCCCATCTCATGCGTCCATGCTCTCATGCGCCCATGCTCTCATGCGCCCATGCTCTCATGCGTCCATGCTCTCATGCGCCCATGCTCTCATGCGCCCATGCTCTCATGCGTCCATGCTCTCATGCGTCCATGCTCTCATGCGCCCATGCTCTCATGCGCCCATGCTCTCATGCGCCCATGCTCTCATGCGCCCATGCTCTCATGCGCCCATGCTCTCATGCGCCCATGCTCTCATGCGCCCATGCTCTCATGCGCCCATGCTCTCATGCGCCCATGCTCTCATGCGCCCATGCTCTCATGCGCCCATGCTCTCATGCGCCCATGCTCTCATGCGTCCATGCTCTCATGCGCCCATGCTCTCATGCGCCCATGCTCTCATGCGCCCATGCTCTCATGCGCCCATGCTCTGATGCGCCCATGCTCTCATGCGCCCATGCTCTCATGCGTCCATGCTCTCATGCGCCCATGCTCTCATGCGCCCATGCTCTCATGCGCCCATGCTCTCATGCGCCCATGCTCTCATGCGCCCATGCTCTCATGCGCCCATGCTCTCATGCGCCCATGCTCTCATGCGTCCATGCTCTCATGCGTCCATGCTCTCATGCGCCCATGCTCTCATGCGCCCATGCTCTCATGCGCCCATGCTCTCATGCGCCCATGCTCTCATGCGCCCATGCTCTCATGCGCCCATGCTCTCATGCGCCCATGCTCTCATGCGCCCATGCTCTCATGCGCCCATGCTCTCATGCGCCCATGCTCTCATGCGCCCATGCTCTCATGCGTCCATGCTCTCATGCGCCCATGCTCTCATGCGCCCATGCTCTCATGCGTCCATGCTCTCATGCGCCCATGCTCTCATGCGCCCATGCTCTCATGCGTCCATGCTCTCATGCGTCCATGCTCTCATGCGCCCATGCTCTCATGCGCCCATGCTCTCATGCGCCCATGCTCTCATGCGCCCATGCTCTCATGCGCCCATGCTCTCATGCGCCCATGCTCTCATGCGCCCATGCTCTCATGCGCCCATGCTCTCATGCGCCCATGCTCTCATGCGCCCATGCTCTCATGCGCCCATGCTCTCATGCGCCCATGCTCTCATGCGTCCATGCTCTCATGCGCCCATGCTCTCATGCGCCCATGCTCTCATGCGTCCATGCTCTCATGCGCCCATGCTCTCATGCGCCCATGCTCTCATGCGTCCATGCTCTCATGCGTCCATGCTCTCATGCGCCCATGCTCTCATGCGCCCATGCTCTCATGCGCCCATGCTCTCATGCGCCCATGCTCTCATGCGCCCATGCTCTCATGCGCCCATGCTCTCATGCGCCCATGCTCTCATGCGCCCATGCTCTCATGCGCCCATGCTCTCATGCGCCCATGCTCTCATGCGCCCATGCTCTCATGCGCCCATGCTCTCATGCGTCCATGCTCTCATGCGCCCATGCTCTCATGCGCCCATGCTCTCATGCGCCCATGCTCTCATGCGCCCATGCTCTGATGCGCCCATGCTCTCATGCGCCCATGCTCTCATGCGTCCATGCTCTCATGCGCCCATGCTCTCATGCGCCCATGCTCTCATGCGCCCATGCTCTCATGCGCCCATGCTCTCATGCGCCCATGCTCTCATGCGCCCATGCTCTCATGCGCCCATGCTCTCATGCGTCCATGCTCTCATGCGTCCATGCTCTCATGCGCCCATGCTCTCATGCGCCCATGCTCTCATGCGCCCATGCTCTCATGCGCCCATGCTCTCATGCGCCCATGCTCTCATGCGCCCATGCTCTCATGCGCCCATGCTCTCATGCGCCCATGCTCTCATGCGCCCATGCTCTCATGCGCCCATGCTCTCATGCGCCCATGCTCTCATGCGTCCATGCTCTCATGCGCCCATGCTCTCATGCGCCCATGCTCTCATGCGTCCATGCTCTCATGCGCCCATGCTCTCATGCGCCCATGCTCTCATGCGTCCATGCTCTCATGCGTCCATGCTCTCATGCGCCCATGCTCTCATGCGCCCATGCTCTCATGCGCCCATGCTCTCATGCGCCCATGCTCTCATGCGCCCATGCTCTCATGCGCCCATGCTCTCATGCGCCCATGCTCTCATGCGCCCATGCTCTCATGCGCCCATGCTCTCATGCGCCCATGCTCTCATGCGCCCATGCTCTCATGCGCCCATGCTCTCATGCGTCCATGCTCTCATGCGCCATGCTCTCATGCGCCCATGCTCTCATGCGTCCATGCTCTCATGCGTCCATGCTCTCATGCGCCCATGCTCTCATGCGCCCATGCTCTCATGCGCCCATGCTCTCATGCGCCCATGCTCTCATGCGCCCATGCTCTCATGCGCCCATGCTCTCATGCGCCCATGCTCTCATGCGCCCATGCTCTCATGCGCCCATGCTCTCATGCGCCCATGCTCTCATGCGCCCATGCTCTCATGCGTCCATGCTCTCATGCGCCCATGCTCTCATGCGCCCATGCTCTCATGCGTCCATGCTCTCATGCGCCCATGCTCTCATGCGCCCATGCTCTCATGCGTCCATGCTCTCATGCGTCCATGCTCTCATGCGCCCATGCTCTCATGCGCCCATGCTCTCATGCGCCCATGCTCTCATGCGCCCATGCTCTCATGCGCCCATGCTCTCATGCGCCCATGCTCTCATGCGCCCATGCTCTCATGCGCCCATGCTCTCATGCGCCCATGCTCTCATGCGCCCATGCTCTCATGCGCCCATGCTCTCATGCGCCCATGCTCTCATGCGTCCATGCTCTCATGCGCCCATGCTCTCATGCGCCCATGCTCTCATGCGCCCATGCTCTCATGCGTCCCATGCTCTCATGCGCCCATGCTCTCATGCGCCCATGCTCTCATGCGCCCATGCTCTCATGCGCCCATGCTCTCATGCGCCCATGCTCTCATGCGTCCATGCTCTGATGCGCCCATGCTCTGATGGTTCAAGCGAGCAGGAAGGCGAGTGAAGCTGGAGCATTGGTGGCAGTGGTGTTGGAAGGGGAGCTCAGTCATCTCCCTCCTTGTGCCCTCTCCTTGCTTCCATTCCTCATGCTCACCTCTCCTTGCACTCGCCTCACCCACCCTGCACCCAGCACCACCACCATCCTCACTCTCCTCTCCCCCACCTTCTCCCCCGGCCGTGTGGCGCGCCTCCAGCGGACGTGGCGGTGATGATGACAGCGGCGGCCATGGCGCTGGCTGATGCGGGCGTGCACCTCCACGACCTCGTCACCGCCGCCGTTGTGGTGCGTGCTGCCTTTAGCGCCCCATGCACACATGCATCTGCCTTTAGCGCCCCATGCACACATGCATCTGCCTTTAGCGCCCCATGCACACATGCATCTGCCTTTAGCGCCCCATGCACACATGCATCTGCCTTTAGCGCCCCATGCACACATGCGTCTGCACCCCCTCGTCACTGTCTCCATTGTGCTACCTGTTCAGTTTAGGTGTAATCTTCTCCTTAGCTGCTCCCTGCAAAACGTCTAGTGAGTGTCTCTGTGTGGTTCGTTTTCTCACTCCACTTTAGTCCGGTAACCTTGTCCTCAGTGGCTGGAAGTGTAGAGTGGTGCGTCGCCACGGCATGTCCATCCGTGCAGTGCAGCGCTCATCGCCAACGTGAATTGTGTGGATTGCCACAGCACCTGCACTTACCCTCCTTCCTCTTGCCCTGCTGTCCTCTCCTTCCTCGCCCTCCTCCCACCACTCACATGCCCAACCACTCAAAATTCCCCCTCCCCCGTGGTACAACCCCAAACCCGTTGAAAAGGACCCTCTTCTTCTCCGTCCGCTGCTGTCATTCAGAGCGTCTGCCGTGGCGACCTGCTGTTGGACCCCAGCGCTGAGGAGGAGCGCGTGGAGGAGGGGCGGGTGGTGGTGGCACTGATGCCGTCGCTGAGCGAGGTGGTGCTGTGCAGTGTCACGGGCAACATGTCCGTCAAGCGCGTCAAGGACGCTGTGGACCTGGCCATTGCAGGGTGCATGAGATTAGATGAAGTGGTCCGAGCCACAGTCAGGGACGAGGCAGCTGCTGCTGTGATGTAGTTTTCTTATACCAGTGGAACTCACACAGCTGCAGTTGGTCAACTGTGCTGCTGCTACTCTGATCATTTTATGTCTACATTGCTTCCCAAGTTCCAAGCGTACGCTCAAACACACTAGCTAGTGGACTGTAGTAGTGAGTGACATCAGCAATTGCTAGCTAATGTGTAACACGGAGACTGTAATCTACACTGATCAGCAAAACTGATTTCTTAACGAGTGCCGAAAAACTACAGGAAAACTACCTTGAAATCATATACAAGGGCCTGATTTGGGATGGGATTGTGAACAGGCCCCCAAATTGCAGACTTTTTACTTTGATTCTGTTGGGCTGAGAAATGCCCTTAGGATCTTTCAGAGACTAAGTCCCAGTGTAGAATGAGACTTGAGTAGTGCAGCGGAAGTTGAGGCAGTTGAACCCTTGTACTAGTATATGAGAACAAGTGATTGATTAAAGAAACAAGCATACAGCAATATATAGAAGATAAGAAAGCAGTTGTAGAGTACAGTTACAGGAACGGTTTATCGAGTCGCACAGCGACTCGATTGCCTGCTTCGGTTACCATCCATGATGTTGTAACGGTCAGTCGCAACCTCCAGTTGCGACCTTTCGCATTCTTTGTCCGCCCCCTCGTGTAACCTCCGTTGACTCGCGTGCTCCCTTGTATCTTCCTCGAGTGTAGTGTTATACTTCAGAAACGCTAAGTTCTTTGAGATATTTCAACACTCCCCTTCGTTTCTGGGAGTGCTGGTTATGTTCGATCTGGTGACGTTTGTCTGTCCGGTCAGCGAGCATGCCAGTGGTCGAATTTTGTCTTCGCCCAATTTCTTCGTCAATAGTCTGCGGCCATTCTGTCGTCGGCAGTAACTGAGTTGAAGTCTCCCCTTCGCGATTTCATCCTTGACGAAGAAGTACCGTAGGGCGATGTGCTTGGTTCGGTTGGCGAAGCCATCCTTGTTCGCCGATTTTGATCGCGGATTGGTTGTCGCAGAGGAGTGAGAAGGTGGGTAGGGGTCGCGATCTTCGCTTCCTCGAGTAACTCCCGTAGGTAGAGTCCTTCCTTGGTCGTAGTACAAAGGGCGATATACTCTGCTTCAGCGAGGATAGTGCGATTAACTCCTGCTTGCTCGACTGCCAGGAGATAGTTCCGATGGGCTCTAGTCGGTAGATGTAGCCCGTCCTGGATCGTCGATTTTCCTTATCTCCCGCCGTGGTCGGCGTCGACGTATCCGAGTAGTCGTACGGACGGTGTTGTTGCTTTGCTGTAGGTAAGCCCGATCGTCGGCGTGGAGACGAAGTAGAGTAGTGCCCGGTTGAGCTCCTCGAGATCTTCCTGTTCCGGTTGCTTCAGATGCGTCGCCAGTTGACTTGCACTGTAGGACAGGTCGGGTCGGCAGGTTACTGCTGCGAATAGTAGGCAGCCGAGCTTCTGTTGATACTCCTGGATTTGCTTCGCGGGGAGTTTTGCGGAGGCGCTGTTGTTATTTCCATAGCGGTAGGGGGTCGGGACCGTAGTCGGCGTCAGTCCGAATTTCTTCGCGATAGTGCCTGCGTACTTTCCAGCGTGTAGGTAGAACGCCGAGTTGTCTTCGACGACATTTAGTCCCAAGTACTGGGTCACTGAGTCGGACACCGTGATCGTCAGGTCTCCTTTCAGCTCCCCTTCGAACCAGGTGGCGATGTCGGTGGTAGAACCGATGTAGAGTAGGTCGTCGACATAGACGATGAGTAGGATGTATTCTCTTCCCTGCTGCAGTCGGTACATGCCTTGGTCATGCGGTAGCTGTAGGAATCCAATTTTTACGAGCCGGCCGTGAAGATGCTGCTGCCAGAGCCGCGGGGCTTGCTTGATCCCGTAAAGGGATTTTGTCAGTTGGCATACTTTCGTGGGTCATTGATGAATCCGTGGGGTTGTTCGACGAAAATCTCAGCGTCCACAGGTGCGTATAGGAACGCATTCGCGACGTCGATTTGGCGTAGTGGTAATGTCTTCGTGGCCGCGATGGCGAGTAGGATGCGTAATGAGGTGTGACGGGAGACTGGAGCGAAGGTTTCTGTGTAGTCGGTCCCGTATCGTTGATCGAAGCCTCGTACGACCCATCGAGCTTTGAATCGTTCGATGGAGCCGTCTGAGTTGGTCTTAATGCGGTACACCCATTTCCCCGAGAGGACGTTCTTCCCGTTGATGCTTGTTGCAGGTACCAGTTTCCATGTTTTCCGGTCTTGCAGAGCCTTTAACTCCTTTTCCATCGCTTCCTTCCATTTCGCCTTATGTTCCCCCCCCAGAGCCTGCGACAAGGTTGAAGGCTCTCGCGGAGAAGGCGGCGGCGGATGCTGGACGGAGACCCAGAGGCCTAGAATCTGCAGTCCCGTGGGTGTGTGTCGAGGGGAATTTTCATTCCCGGAATAAGCTGCTTCGTCACCGTCTTCTGGGTCAGGTAAGAAGTTGGGACCGATGCGTTCTGAAACATTTGTGTCGACTGGGTGGGGTGTAATGTAACCTTGGTCAGCGAAGTGGTAAAAGGTGTCGAGGTTGTTGCTATCGAGAGGATTTTCTTCGTCGAGTGGAACAGGTACGGAACAGAATGGGAGTGGTCCGGCAGCTTCCGAGGCTTCAGGTACGTCTTCTTCTGCTGCGTCAGCTTCGGCGGCACGGTCGGCGAAGGAACGAAGTCCCGAGAAGCCGTCGGTGGGGTCTTGTGTGTTGGCAATGTTGTCCAGGTAATGCTGCAGCGTCAGTCGCTCGTAGAAGATAACATCTCGTGATGCCACCGTGTTTTTGTTTTGTATGTCGAGAATTTTCCACGCGTGAAAATGTTTGGCGATGCCGAGGTGTAGTCCCCACCGAGCTCGTTGTGTGAAGCGTCCTGCTCGGGCTGTGTGGGGTCTGTACTGTACCATGCAGCCAAAAACTCTGAGTAATTTTGTGCTGCCCCTTTTTCGTGTCCACAACAGGTGCGGTGATGCGTTGTTGGGAAGTGATGACGAGGACAGCAGGTTGTGCAGGTGAACAGCATGTGTCATCGCGTCGGGCCACAGTGTGGTTGGCAGTCTCATCCCCTGAAGCAGTTTTCGCATTGTCGTCTGCAAGGTCCGATTCATGCGTTCTGCTACCCCCTGCTGTTGGTGAGCATAGGGCAGGGACACCAGGCGTCTGATTCCTCTTTCCGCCAGATAGGTCCTGAAGTGTTGTGACTGGTATTCCAGTGCACCGTCTGACTGGAAGCTCTTGAGTTTGAGTCCTGATTCTCGTTCGGCGATGGGAAGCCATGTTGTGAAGGCTTCGAAGGCTTGATCGCGCGTCGTGAGATTGAAGTGCCAGACATATCTGGTTGCGGCGTCGATGAACGTGATGACGTAGTTGAAGTCGGCTTCGGTGTCGTCTCGAGGCATGTTTAAAATATCGCTGTAGACCTTTTCCATCGGAGCGTAAGTAGGTGCGCTTGGGTTGTGATGGGATGGGAAAGATTGATGAGGAAGATCTGCTTCGGGGCATGTGAAGCACCGTGCGCGTGGTCGTCGAAGTTCTTGGCCGCTCGTCGTCAGAAGGGCGTTGCGTTCTAACACATCTGCTTGGATTGTTTGAAGTATCGTGCTGTTTGCAGGATGTCCGAGACGTTGGTGCCAGATGTCGTCGGGAGCGCGGTGACCGGGCGAGCGGTGGTAGATGTCGGCGTTGGAGAAGAACGCGACGACCGAGGCGGGACTTCGACAAGCTTCTCGTGTGGCGGGCATAAGTTGGTCTGCTTCGGTTGGCGGTCCTCGTGTCGCTGGTGGTGGTACTCGGCTGGGTCCTGCTGTCGATACTGCAGGTGATGGTTTTGTTAGGACACGTGCGGGTACTTGTCTTTCTTGTCTGATAACTGCTAATGCTCGTGTTCTCTCTGCTGCAGGTATGGTGTTGGAGTGCCAGAAGCCGTCACTGTCGAAGTCGGGATCAAGATCCGGCGGGTGAGTCCAGGCGGCGAATGATACGATACCGTCGCTGTCGGCAGTACTGCGGTCGGGGACGAAGTCCAACACGAAGACGCCGGACTTCAGGAGGGCACGACCGATGAAGAGGCCGCCTTTCCCGTGGTAAAGCCGAAACTCGTTGGAGTAGGAGTCGCACTCCAGGTGAATCCCCTTGGCCATTAGTTGGCTTACGCTTAGTAGGTTGTATCCCAGATTGTCGACAATGAGCACTTTGTTGAGCTGAAGTATGACGTTTGTCTCCATCGATTGTAACTGAACCACGCCTTGTCTGTTTGTCTTCAGGTTTTCGTTGTTGGCGACGGTGATGACGACGTCGCGGTTGAGGCGTTTCTCCTGTTGCACGAAGCGTCCCGAGGAGCACATGTGTTGACCGCAGCAGCTGTCCAAGAACCAGGTGTTTCGCCTGGTGGGTTCGGCGTTGGCGACCGCAGCATATGTTGGATTGACTTGAAGGCCTTGTGAGCGTGGTGGCGGCAGCTCTTCTTCGTCTGGCGCGTAGGTGGGTGGTGATCCGGGTGCGCAGTTGTCGATGTGTACCATGCAATTGATAATGTTTGGTGTTTGTTGTGCAGATGTTGAAGAGCGCCTTGGGGGACTGGCTTGAGTAGAAGTTACTTGTGGGTCTGCTGCACGGTAAACGCGAGGGCGGTTGCAGTTGACTTTGGAGTGCCCGGAAGTCTGGCAGTTGTGGCAGAACGGCGGTACGATGGTGAGTCCTCGGTTGTCGCGTTGATCTTGCTTGTTGCGTCGGTTGTAGTTGTTGTCATTTCTTCTTTGAGTGTAGAAGACTAACTGCTTTTGCTTCCTTGGTTGTCTTTCCTCGAACAGATCCATCTCCTGTTGTTCAGCGTGAAGCTCGGCGCAGAGGTGCATCTCCGAAATTCTTCCGTGGGCTCGAAGAAGTGATCGTGTGGTTCTCCATTCTGGCCCGAGCCCGGCGAGGACAAGTGTTACGAAGCTTTCTTCAGTGATCGTTCCTCCGCACCGGAGCAGGCGGTCGCGGAGGGTCTGGCAGCGACTCATATACTGCATCGCCTTTTCCCCGGTCTTCATCTGTATTGTTGTCAGCTGTTGCATGAGTCTGCTTTGTGTCACGCTGTCGTTTGCTTGATAGAGGCACTTGAGATGATGCCATGCGAGTTCCGCGGAGTTTCCATAACTCCGATACGTTCTGATGCTCTACTGCTCTTGTGGTGACAGGTTTCTCAGGAGTACCGTATACGCCAGCAGCGACTGATACGTGAAGATTTCTTGTTCCTTCCCAGTGCCGTTGCTTGGGAATGGCAGGGACCCGTTGAAGTATCCCAGAAGGTGCGCGGCCTCCATCAGCAGTTCGAATTCGAAGCTCCAGGTAAAGAAGTCGTGTCCGTTGAACGGTGAGGATGTCTGAAGTTTAATTACGTGTGAGAACTGTGCCTGAAGACTTAAGATTTCGTTCGGTGTTTGTTGTGATGCAGCTGCTGTTGGCTGGGCACGGGGCGGCATGAACTCGAACGTCCCCGGTGAAGAGTGATAAGGCGCAAAAGTAGGTGCTTGATTGTGTCGCCCGAAGGATGAGTTGTCGAGGCTCATCGGCGCTAATCCCATATTCCCTCCATTGCTCTGTGTTGAGTGCGCAGGTGTCCTTGTCTGCTGCTGCTGGTCGAAGTGTGACATGAAGCTGAAGAATCTCTCCATGAGATTCGGGTCCACACTTGAAGAGGGAGACGGAGTCACCATCTCCGGTGCTCTTCCCGTTGTTTCTTGAGCAGTCCCGGTCTCTGTCTGCAGTCCTGAGGTGTGCAGACCAGAGTTGCCGTGTTGAGTTTCTTGGGCGCTGGGTGAGCCCGTAGAGACTTTCTTGCCCTTGTTGTCCATGTCTTGTAATCAATGGAGTTGTTGAATCAAGTCGAGTTGCTGGTTGTTGATGGAGTGTAGTTGCTGGGAGTTTGGTCTCTGACCAGCTCTCATACCATGTTGGGCTGAGAAATGCCCTTAGGATCTTTCCAGAGACTAAGTCCCAGTCGTAGAATGAGGCTTGAGTAGTGCAGCGGAAGTTGAGGCAGTTGAACCCTTGTACTAGTATATGAGAACAAGTGATTGATTAAGGAAACAAGCATACAGCAATATATAGAAGATAAGAAAGCAGCTGTAGAGTACAGTTACAGGAACGGTTTATCGAGTCGCACAGCGACTCGATTGCTGCTTCGGTTACCATCCATGATGCTGTAACGGTCAGTCGCAACCTCCAGTTGCGACCTTTCGCATTCTTTGTCCGCCCCCTCGTGTAACCTCCGTTGACTCGCGTGCTCCCTTGTAGTCTTCCTCGAGTGTAGTGTTATACTTCAGAAACGCTTAAGTTCTTTGAGATATTTCCAACAGATTCAGACTTTTTTCAGAGTTTTTTTGGGGGTGTACTCTGATTCCAAAGACTTTTTTTCTTATGTTACTCTGATTTTTCAGAGAAGTTTTATGTACCTACCCTGATTTTTCAGACTTCTTTTACAAGTGTAGTCTGTTGCTTCATCCTTGTATGGGGGGGGACTCTGATTCCTGTCATATCATCATTTTAGGGGGGGTTGCGAGATTTGCGCTGGTACCTCTGTCGTCACCGTCAATCACGCCAGATTTACATTTGCGCTGGCGCGGCCCGAGCCGTCGGGCGGGCAAATTTTGTGCGATGGCGCCAGCACAGAGTTAGCCCGAGCAGCCGATTGGTCATTGACAAAAACACGGTTGTTTTCACCAATCCAGGCGCATTTCGCTGGGTGAGGCACAGCAGACGAGGCACCGCACCCATGCTGACACGCCGAGTGTCTGGTTTATTAATGCATGGACAGCATCTTGCGCGCCGCGATGGAGTTGCAGCTGGCAGACCCCCTCCTTCTCCATCAGTTCATTACTGACGGGGAAAACGACCCTGCTTCTCCCCCCTCCAACAAAATTTCACCCAAGCTTCGTGTAGCCCCTCGGTTTTCTTTCAGTGCGTTTGTTTTCCCAACGCGCCTGCAGGCCATGGAGTAGGCCGACCTCGATGAGGACGTAGACGAGGCAGATTATGAAGAAGAAGAAGAAGAGTACTGGTGTGCCAGAATTTCCGCGATGGTCCCGCCGCACTAAATTTCCTGCGGCAGTCGGATGCCTCGGATCGTAGCCCTCAGAGGAAGCCTGGTGACGCTGCCCCTGCTGATGGCGATGCGCCTATTCCTGACGCAGCGGGCAAGAAGTCTGCGGATGCAAGCCCCCTGCCCGTTGCTTCAGCTCCTGTCCCCGGCACCACGCCGTCGGTGACGGCGGCGAAGAAGTTCCGGTACAGGCAGGTGATTCTGCCGTACGCCTCCACGTCGACATGCCAGGATCCGCCTGAGCCTGTGCCGAGCCCCTTTGTACATGCGGATACGCCAGAATCGTCTGGCGGTAGGTCCACTGCTAGAACGAACAAGGACATCTATGCTGAGGCACAAGAGCGTTTCAAATCTCGCTGGTTTGACAGATTCCCTTGGCTCATGCTCTTGAAAACTGACAATGGGCTCCCGGCCTTCAAGTGCAGTGTATGCGCAGTGCATGCAGGACCCGCAGGGCGTACCGGCAAATCGGGCAAGGGAGCAACGGACGTGCAGACCCAGTCGTTCAAGAAGCACGCCGGGACGCAGAAGCATCGCCTCGCCATGTCCAAGCAGGACGATCTCCTGCAACTGACGTCGAACTAGCAGCGGATCGATAAGCATACTTGCGCGGCCGACGAAGAGAAGGAGCGAGTCATCGCGCTGCTTGACTCCCTCTACTTCTGCGCCAAGTGTAACGAACCCATGGAAACATGGATTCGTTTGGTGCGATACCTCTCATCGCGCAGTTTCAAGGGCTTCCCGAAGTCTGCCTACGGCACGTACTATAACTGGTGAGAACTCCAGTGACTATGAACTTCTCTCTGTCTGGTCTTTACATATGTAACGTACAACAACTTGGCTTGTGCGTGTCATGTAATAGGTACGGCTTCGGCGAGCTGACACAAGCGACGGCAACGTGGCTGCAGACGACTCAACTCCAACTCCTGCTGGCGAGTCCCTACATTGGCCTGAGCCTTGACGAAAGCACCGATCGCTGCCGTGGCAAGGACATGATCGTGTTTGCCACGTTCATCCGGGAAGGGCGGCTTGTAACCGAGTACCTGGCTCTGTTGACAGTGGAGAAGGCGGATGCGGCATCGCTTCTCGCCCTCTTGTTGTCCCATCTACAGGCGATTGGCATCGACCTCGGCCGCATCTCTGGCATAAGCACTGACGGCGCTGCCGTCATGATGGGATCGCGTTCTGGACTTGTGGCCCGCCTTCGTCCTCGCGTTCCGCACCTTGCCTCTTGCCATTGCATTGCCCATCGGTTCGTCATCCGTTTGCTGTGTGCATGTCATGTATATTTGCTTCTAGTTTTGTATATAATTCCAATCCCTAATCTGCTTCCTAGTTAGCATCTCATCTCCTTATCCCATTGCAGAGAGGCGCAGGCGGCAAAGGCTGCTGCCGAGGAGATCCCTGTCTTCAGCATGGTGGATAACATCATTCGCGAGATCGCTGAGCTGCTCGGTCGCTCCAACCCTTAGCATCAACGGTTCCTGGAGCTCCAGGAGGTGTTCATGTCGACAAACCTCGAGCTCCAGGGCATCCACAACATCCGCTGGCTGTCGCGCGGAGACGCGGTCATCCGCCTGGTCGAGGTCCTACCAGCCATCGTGGTCATGCTGCAGGAGTACGACGCCAAGGTGTACGCGCTCGTCACCAGTTAGCACTTCTGGCTCCTCCTGATGTTCCTCGCCGACGTGCTAGAGCTGCTGAACGTCCTCAACAAGGTCTTCCAGCAGCGGGAGGTAAATATGTTAAATGCTTGTGTTTGCATATATGTCAATGTTGCTTGTCTCTGCCGCTCGTCCCTTAATCACACATCCGTCAGTGATGCCCTACCTCTCCTCGCCCCCCTACCCACCAGCTGGATTACACAACGGTGCACGCGCAGATCATCCGCACAACCTCACTGCTAGAGAGCCGCTACGTGGACTGCGGAGACGACTTCACCGGCGGGCCCAACGATCGATTGACGTGGTTCCTCGCCAAGCACGGGCCCAGCAAGTCCAAGCTAGTGACAGTGGAGGGGATTGACTCCGATGGCCGACCTTCACGGTTCACCTTCGAGATGCACGAAGAGCCCCAAGAGGACTACCCAGGGCCTAGCGACCACGATGGGAGTGTCGTGGCGTGCATGGCTCTAGCGGAGGGCCTTGTCCGCAACCTCGACGAGCGCCTAGGCAATCTGCGGCAGCTGTCCGGAGCGCGCCTATTCAGCGCCGACACATGGCCGCCCAACTGGGACCGACAGGCACGGAGGACGCAGTGCCTCGAGTGGTTCAATTCTCTCGTGGTCATCTACCGCGCTGAAGACATGGACGAGATTCTGCCAGGTGAATCACCATCTACTCCTTTCAGTATCCCTTTGGCAATGTATCTGAAACAAGACACATATATTTTCCTAAACCCTGTGTACTGTTTCCGATAACCCAACCCTTCTCCCTCTCCTTGTGTGCCCTTGTCTGAGCAGGTATAGACAAGCGCAAAGCCCAGAGCGAGCTTCGCAACTTCGTCCCCGTCCTTGCTGCGCTTCCCAAGGTGGACAAGTCATTCCACGCGGGGCTGAGCGCCTTGCTCAAGACGCAGGACTGGAGGGACAGCTACCCCAACCTGGTCAATCTGTGGGTGGCGGTGGCTGTCCTTTCGTTGAGCACTGTCGAGTGCGAGCGCGGGTTCTCCCGCCAGAACGTCATCAAGAGTTGGCTGCGGGAGGCTCTCAAGGATACTAGGCTAGGAGATCTGATGTGCATGTCGCAGCTAGAGTATGACCCCGACTGGGAAGAGGTGGTCACCATTTGGCGGGCTTATAATAAGAGGAAGCCCCTTAGCAACACCCTGCCCGAGGCTAGTAGCAGCAGGAAGGGAAAGGAGAAAGTAGATGATGATATGCCAACAGTGCCTCAGCAGTATATGCAGGATATTGACTGATTCCGTGTATGTAGTGAAATATAGTGCGTTCTCTAATGAAGAACCATAAAAAAAGCTCATACAAAAGTTTGGCTATGACTCTGATTGATCAGACAAAAAATCGAAGGCTACTCTGATTTTTCAGACTTTTTCAAGGAGGTAACTCTGACACCCATACCAAGGGAAGGCAGTGGACTCTGACGAATCAGACAGGCCCAAAACCAATTTGGGGGCCTGATTGTGAAGCATAGGTGGTAGGAAGAATTCCCCAGCAGATTTCGTTGCAGATGGATGGAGTTCTACTGGTCTCCAACAGAGTTGGACACGCGTGTTTCTCTCTTTCACTTTCAACGTGGCCTGCATGCGACGACCGTTGCCGAGAGCACTACTAACATGGCCCGCACTGGGCAGCAGTGGTAGGAGCAGTGGTAGGAGCAGCGGTCAGCGGCGCCTCCACAAGGTGACTGCGAGGGCAGCCACACCCACTCCGCCCACAGCCACGCCCGCCACCACGCAGCGCCATGCCACGGGGGAGAACCATGGCTTGGGCGGTGGCGGCATGCGCAGCAGTGCTGCCACCTGCATGTGTGCGGGCGGGAAGGGTGCAAGGGGGGTTTGCCATGTGAGTGTGTGTGAGTGTGTGTGTGTGTGTGTGTATGTGTGTGTGTGTGTGTGAAGGGGGAAGGGGGGGGGTGGAGGAGGGGGCAGGCAGGCGGGCGGGCGTGCATGTGTGTGCGTGTGTGCATGAGACAGCATGAGGCAGCATGAGGCGGCATGAGGCAGCATGAGGAATGACCGTGCTGGCATGAGATAGCTGCCAAACACGATTGCTACGCAGTAGCGGGTCACATTCACACCGTGCCGCCACACACTGTCTGCAACAACGCATGCCCGTGCCATCAGAACTGTGGCAGCTGCGAGCCATCGCAAAACATACATTGCCAACAGTCATACTTCTCACGAATCGTTTTCATATTTCTATGCTTGCACGCATTTCCTCGCATACATGTCATTGCGCACACCACCAGCTGTTCTCACATCGATATCGGTGCGCGGCCAGTTGGCCTGAATGCCCTCCAGGTGCCCCTTCCCCACCACCGCCACCACTCGCGCACTCCGCCTCGCCACGTGCCGCAGCATGCACGCCATGTACCTGGTGTGCGAGAGGGGGGGTGGGGTGGAGGCGGGGAGAAGGGGGTGGGTGCTGCATGTGAGTAAGGTGGCGAGTAGAAGAGGGGTGGGCAGCATAAGAGGCATGGGTGGGACAAGCACATGTCAGGACAAGCACATGTCAGGACAAGCACATGTCAGGACATGCACATGTCAGGACAAGCACATGTCAGGACATGCACATGTCAGGACATGCACATGTCAGGACAAGCACATGTCAGGACAAGCACATGTCAGGACAAGCACATGTCAGGACATGCACATGTCAGGACATGCACATGTCAGGACATGCACATGTCAGGACATGCACCTGTCAGGACATGCACATGTCAGGACAAGCACATGTCAGGACATGCACATGTCAGGACATGCACATGTCAGGACATGCACATGTCAGGACAAGCACATGTCAGGACATGCACATGTCAGGACATGCACATGTCAGGACATGCACATGTCAGGACATGCACATGTCAGGACATGCACATGTCAGGAGATGCACGGCACATAGTGCGGCAGCGAGAAAGGCGAGCACATGTGGCGCTCGTGGATGAGGGAGGGAGAGGGCAGACGCACATGTCGCGCTCGTGGATGAGGGAGGGAGAGGGCAGACGCACATGTGGCGCTCGTGGATGAGGGAGGGAGAGGGCAGACGCACATGTGGCGCTCGTGGATGAGGGAGGGAGAGGGCAGATGCACATGTCGCGCTCGTGGATGAGGGAGGGAGAGGGCAGACGCACATGTGGCGCTCATGGATGAGGGAGGGAGAGGGCAGACGCACATGTCGCGCTCGCGGATGAGGGAGCGAGAGGGCAGACGCACATGTGGCGCTCGTGGATGAGGGAGGGAGAGGGCAGACGCACATGTGGCGCTCGTGGGTGAGGGAGGGAGAGGGCAGACGCACATGTGGCGCTCGTGGGGAGAGGGCAGACGCACATGTCACGCTCATGGATGAGGGAGGGAGAGGGCAGTCGACATGTCGCGCTCGTGGATGAGGGAGGGAGAGGGCAGACGCACGTGTGGCGCTCGTGGACGAGGGAGGGAGAGGGCAGACGCACATGTGGCGCTCGTGGATGAGGGAGGGAGAGGGCAGACGCACATGTCGCGCTCGTGGATGAGGGAGGGAGAGGGCAGACGCACATGTGGCGCTCGTGGATGAGGGAGGGAGAGGGCAGATGCACATGTCGCGCTCGTGGATGAGGGAGGGAGAGGGCAGACGCACATGTGGCGCTCGTGGATGAGGGAGGGAGAGGGCAGACGCACATGTCGCGCTCATGGATGAGGGAGCGAGAGGGCAGACGCACATGTGGCGCTCGTGGGGAGAGGGCAGAAGCACATGTCACGCTCATGGATGAGGGAGGGAGAGGGCAGACGCACATGTCGCGCTCGTGGATGAGGGAGGGAGAGGGCAGACGCACGTGTGGCGCTCGTGGACGAGGGAGGGAGAGGGCAGACGCACATGCCGCGCTCGTGGATGAGGGAGCGAGAGGGCAAACGCACATGTGGCGCTCGTGGATGAGGGAGGGAGAGGGCAGACGCACGTGTGGCGCTCGTGGACGAGGGAGGGAGAGGGCAGACGCATATGCCGCGCTCGTGGATGAGGGAGCGAGAGGGCAAACGCACATGTGGCGCTCGTGGATGAGGGAGGGAGAGGGCAGACGCACATGTCGCGCTCGTGGGGAGAGGGCAGACGCACATGTCACGCTCATGGATGAGGGAGGGAGAGGGCAGACGCACATGTCGCGCTCGTGGATGAGGGAGGGAGAGGGCAGACGCACGTGTGGCGCTCGTGGATGAGGGAGGGAGAGGGCAGACGCACATGTGGCGCTCGTGGATGAGGGAGGGAGAGGGCAGACGCACATGTCGCGCTCGTGGATGAGGGAGGGAGAGGGCAGACGCACATGTCGCGCTCGTGGATGAGGGAGGGAGAGGGCAGACGCACATGTGGCGCTCGTGGATGAGGGAGGGAGAGGGCAGACGCACATGTGGCGCTCGTGGATGAGGGAGGGAGAGGGCAGATGCACATGTCGCGCTCGTGGATGAGGGAGGGAGAGGGCAGACGCACATGTGGCGCTCATGGATGAGGGAGGGAGAGGGCAGACGCACATGTCGCGCTCGCGGATGAGGGAGCGAGAGGGCAAACGCACATGTGGCGCTCGTGGATGAGGGAGGGAGAGGGCAGACGCACATGTGGCGCTCGTGGGTGAGGGAGGGAGAGGGCAGACGCACATGTGGCGCTCGTGGGGAGAGGGCAGACGCACATGTCACGCTCATGGATGAGGGAGGGAGAGGGCAGTCGCACATGTCGCGCTCGTGGATGAGGGAGGGAGAGGGCAGACGCACGTGTGGCGCTCGTGGACGAGGGAGGGAGAGGGCAGACGCACATGTGGCGCTCGTGGATGAGGGAGGGAGAGGGCAGACGCACATGTCGCGCTCGTGGATGAGGGAGGGAGAGGGCAGACGCACATGTGGCGCTCGTGGATGAGGGAGGGAGAGGGCAGATGCACATGTCGCGCTCGTGGATGAGGGAGGGAGAGGGCAGACGCACATGTGGCGCTCGTGGATGAGGGAGGGAGAGGGCAGACGCACATGTGGCGCTCGTGGATGAGGGAGGGAGAGGGCAGATGCACATGTCGCGCTCGTGGATGAGGGAGGGAGAGGGCAGACGCACATGTGGCGCTCATGGATGAGGGAGGGAGAGGGCAGACGCACATGTCGCCCTCGCGGATGAGGGAGCGAGAGGGCAGACGCACATGTGGCGCTCGTGGATGAGGGAGGGAGAGGGCAGACGCACATGTGGCGCTCGTGGGTGAGGGAGGGAGAGGGCAGACGCACATGTGGCGCTCGTGGGGAGAGGGCAGACGCACATGTCACGCTCATGGATGAGGGAGGGAGAGGGCAGTCGCACATGTCGCGCTCGTGGATGAGGGAGGGAGAGGGCAGACGCACGTGTGGCGCTCGTGGACGAGGGAGGGAGAGGGCAGACGCACATGTGGCGCTCGTGGATGAGGGAGGGAGAGGGCAGACGCACATGTCGCGCTCGTGGATGAGGGAGGGAGAGGGCAGACGCACATGTGGCGCTCGTGGATGAGGGAGGGAGAGGGCAGATGCACATGTCGCGCTCGTGGATGAGGGAGGGAGAGGGCAGACGCACATGTGGCGCTCGTGGATGAGGGAGGGAGAGGGCAGACGCACATGTCGCGCTCGTGGATGAGGGAGCGAGAGGGCAGACGCACATGTGGCGCTCGTGGGGAGAGGGCAGACGCACATGTCACGCTCATGGATGAGGGAGGGAAAGGGCAGACGCACATGTCGCGCTCGTGGATGAGGGAGGGAGAGGGCAGACGCACGTGTGGCGCTCGTGGACGAGGGAGGGAGAGGGCAGACGCACATGCTGCGCTCGTGGATGAGGGAGCGAGAGGGCAAACGCACATGTGGCGCTCGTGGATGAGGGAGGGAGAGGGCAGACGCACATGTCGCGCTCGTGGGGAGAGGGCAGACGCACATGTCACGCTCATGGATGAGGGAGGGAGAGGGCAGACGCACATGTCGCGCTCGTGGATGAGGGAGGGAGAGGGCAGACGCACATGTGGCGCTCGTGGATGAGGGAGGGAGAGGGCAGACGCACATGTCGCGCTCGTGGATGAGGGAGGGAGAGGGCAGACGCACATGTCGCGCTCGTGGATGAGGGAGGGAGAGGGCAGACGCACATGTGGCGCTCGTGGATGAGGGAGGGAGAGGGCAGACGCACATGTGGCGCTCGTGGATGAGGGAGGGAGAGGGCAGATGCACATGTCGCGCTCGTGGATGAGGGAGGGAGAGGGCAGACGCACATGTGGCGCTCATGGATGAGGGAGGGAGAGGGCAGACGCACATGTCGCGCTCGCGGATGAGGGAGCGAGAGGGCAAACGCACATGTGGCGCTCGTGGATGAGGGAGGGAGAGGGCAGACGCACATGTGGCGCTCGTGGGTGAGGGAGGGAGAGGGCAGACGCACATGTGGCGCTCGTGGGGAGAGGGCAGACGCACATGTCACGCTCATGGATGAGGGAGGGAGAGGGCAGTCGCACATGTCGCGCTCGTGGATGAGGGAGGGAGAGGGCAGACGCACGTGTGGCGCTCGTGGACGAGGGAGGGAGAGGGCAGACGCACATGTGGCGCTCGTGGATAAGGGAGGGAGAGGGCAGACGCACATGTCGCGCTCGTGGATGAGGGAGGGAGAGGGCAGACGCACATGTGGCGCTCGTGGATGAGGGAGGGAGAGGGCAGATGCACATGTCGCGCTCGTGGATGAGGGAGGGAGAGGGCAGACGCACATGTCACGCTCATGGATGAGGGAGGGAGAGGGCAGACGCACATGTCGCGCTCGTGGATGAGGGAGGGAGAGGGCAGACGCACATGTGGCGCTCGTGGATGAGGGAGGGAGAGGGCAGACGCACATGTGGCGCTCGTGGATGAGGGAGGGAGAGGGCAGATGCACATGTCGCGCTCGTGGATGAGGGAGGGAGAGGGCAGACGCACATGTGGCGCTCATGGATGAGGGAGGGAGAGGGCAGACGCACATGTCGCGCTCGCGGATGAGGGAGCGAGAGGGCAGACGCACATGTGGCGCTCGTGGATGAGGGAGGGAGAGGGCAGACGCACATGTGGCGCTCGTGGGTGAGGGAGGGAGAGGGCAGACGCACATGTGGCGCTCGTGGGGAGAGGGCAGACGCACATGTCACGCTCATGGATGAGGGAGGGAGAGGGCAGTCGCACATGTCGCGCTCGTGGATGAGGGAGGGAGAGGGCAGACGCACGTGTGGCGCTCGTGGACGAGGGAGGGAGAGGGCAGACGCACATGTGGCGCTCGTGGATGAGGGAGGGAGAGGGCAGACGCACATGTCGCGCTCGTGGATGAGGGAGGGAGAGGGCAGACGCACATGTGGCGCTCGTGGATGAGGGAGGGAGAGGGCAGATGCACATGTCGCGCTCGTGGATGAGGGAGGGAGAGGGCAGACGCACATGTGGCGCTCGTGGATGAGGGAGGGAGAGGGCAGACGCACATGTCGCGCTCGTGGATGAGGGAGCGAGAGGGCAGACGCACATGTGGCGCTCGTGGGGAGAGGGCAGACGCACATGTCACGCTCATGGATGAGGGAGGGAGAGGGCAGACGCACATGTCGCGCTCGTGGATGAGGGAGGGAGAGGGCAGACGCACGTGTGGCGCTCGTGGACGAGGGAGGGAGAGGGCAGACACACATGCTGCGCTCGTGGATGAGGGAGCGAGAGGGCAAACGCACATGTGGCGCTCGTGGATGAGGGAGGGAGAGGGCAGACGCACATGTCGCGCTCGTGGGGAGAGGGCAGACGCACATGTCACGCTCATGGATGAGGGAGGGAGAGGGCAGACGCACATGTCGCGCTCGTGGATGAGGGAGGGAGAGGGCAGACGCACGTGTGGCGCTCGTGGATGAGGGAGGGAGAGGGCAGACGCACATGTGGCGCTCGTGGATGAGGGAGGGAGAGGGCAGACGCACATGTCGCGCTCGTGGATGAGGGAGGGAGAGGGCAGACGCACATGTGGCGCTCGTGGATGAGGGAGGGAGAGGGCAGACGCACATGTGGCGCTCGTGGGGAGAGGGCAGACGCACATGTCACGCTCATGGATGAGGGAGGGAGAGGGCAGACGCACATGTCGCGCTCGTGGATGAGGGAGGGAGAGGGCAGACGCACGTGTGGCGCTCGTGGACGAGGGAGGGAGAGGGCAGATGCACATGTGGCGCTCGTGGATGAGGGAGGGAGAGGGCAGACGCACATGTCGCGCTCGTGGATGAGGGAGCGAGAGGGCAAACGTACATGTGGCGCTCGTGGATGAGGGAGGGAGAGGGCAGACGCACATGTGGCGCTCGTGGGGAGAGGGCAGACGCACATGTCACGCTCATGGATGAGGGAGGGAGAGGGCAGACGCACATGTCGCGCTCGTGGATGAGGGAGGGAGAGGGCAGACGCACGTGTGGCGCTCGTGGACGAGGGAGGGAGAGGGCAGACGCACATGCCGCGCTCGTGGATGAGGGAGCGAGAGGGCAAACGCACATGTGGCGCTCGTGGATGAGGGAGGGAGAGGGCAGACGCACGTGTGGCGCTCGTGGACGAGGGAGGGAGAGGGCAGACGCATATGCCGCGCTCGTGGATGAGGGAGCGAGAGGGCAAACGCACATGTGGCGCTCGTGGATGAGGGAGGGAGAGGGCAGACGCACATGTCGCGCTCGTGGGGAGAGGGCAGACGCACATGTCACGCTCATGGATGAGGGAGGGAGAGGGCAGACGCACATGTCGCGCTCGTGGATGAGGGAGGGAGAGGGCAGACGCACGTGTGGCGCTCGTGGATGAGGGAGGGAGAGGGCAGACGCACATGTGGCGCTCGTGGATGAGGGAGGGAGAGGGCAGACGCACATGTCGCGCTCGTGGATGAGGGAGGGAGAGGGCAGACGCACATGTCGCGCTCGTGGATGAGGGAGGGAGAGGGCAGACGCACATGTGGCGCTCGTGGATGAGGGAGGGAGAGGGCAGACGCACATGTGGCGCTCGTGGATGAGGGAGGGAGAGGGCAGATGCACATGTCGCGCTCGTGGATGAGGGAGGGAGAGGGCAGACGCACATGTGGCGCTCATGGATGAGGGAGGGAGAGGGCAGACGCACATGTCGCGCTCGCGGATGAGGGAGCGAGAGGGCAGACGCACATGTGGCGCTCGTGGATGAGGGAGGGAGAGGGCAGACGCACATGTGGCGCTCGTGGGTGAGGGAGGGAGAGGGCAGACGCACATGTGGCGCTCGTGGGGAGAGGGCAGACGCACATGTCACGCTCATGGATGAGGGAGGGAGAGGGCAGTCGCACATGTCGCGCTCGTGGGTGAGGGAGGGAGAGGGCAGACGCACATGTGGCGCTCGTGGGGAGAGGGCAGACGCACATGTCACGCTCATGGATGAGGGAGGGAGAGGGCAGACGCACGTGTGGCGCTCGTGGACGAGGGAGGGAGAGGGCAGACGCACATGTGGCGCTCGTGGATGAGGGAGGGAGAGGGCAGACGCACATGTCGCGCTCGTGGATGAGGGAGGGAGAGGGCAGACGCACATGTGGCGCTCGTGGATGAGGGAGGGAGAGGGCAGATGCACATGTCGCGCTCGTGGATGAGGGAGGGAGAGGGCAGACGCACATGTGGCGCTCGTGGGTGAGGGAGGGAGAGGGCAGACGCACATGTGGCGCTCGTGGGGAGAGGGCAGACGCACATGTCACGCTCATGGATGAGGGAGGGAGAGGGCAGACGCACGTGTGGCGCTCGTGGACGAGGGAGGGAGAGGGCAGACGCACATGTGGCGCTCGTGGATGAGGGAGGGAGAGGGCAGACGCACATGTCGCGCTCGTGGATGAGGGAGGGAGAGGGCAGACGCACATGTGGCGCTCGTGGATGAGGGAGGGAGAGGGCAGATGCACATGTCGCGCTCGTGGATGAGGGAGGGAGAGGGCAGACGCACATGTGGCGCTCGTGGATGAGGGAGGGAGAGGGCAGACGCACATGTCGCGCTCGTGGATGAGGGAGCGAGAGGGCAGACGCACATGTGGCGCTCGTGGGGAGAGGGCAGACGCACATGTCACGCTCATGGATGAGGGAGGGAGAGGGCAGACGCACATGTCGCGCTCGTGGATGAGGGAGGGAGAGGGCAGACGCACGTGTGGCGCTCGTGGACGAGGGAGGGAGAGGGCAGACGCACATGCTGCGCTCGTGGATGAGGGAGCGAGAGGGCAAACGCACATGTGGCGCTCGTGGATGAGGGAGGGAGAGGGCAGACGCACATGTCGCGCTCGTGGGGAGAGGGCAGACGCACATGTCACGCTCATGGATGAGGGAGGGAGAGGGCAGACGCACATGTCGCGCTCGTGGATGAGGGAGGGAGAGGGCAGACGCACGTGTGGCGCTCGTGGATGAGGGAGGGAGAGGGCAGACGCACATGTGGCGCTCGTGGATGAGGGAGGGAGAGGGCAGACGCACATGTCGCGCTCGTGGATGAGGGAGGGAGAGGGCAGACGCACATGTGGCACTCGTGGATGAGGGAGGGAGAGGGCAGACGCACATGTCACGCTCATGGATGAGGGAGGGAGAGGGCAGACGCACATGTCGCGCTCGTGGATGAGGGAGGGAGAGGGCAGACGCACGTGTGGCGCTCGTGGACGAGGGAGGGAGAGGGCAGATGCACATGTGGCGCTCGTGGATGAGGGAGGGAGAGGGCAGACGCACATGTCGCGCTCGTGGATGAGGGAGCGAGAGGGCAAACGCACATGTGGCGCTCGTGGATGAGGGAGGGAGAGGGCAGACGCACATGTGGCGCTCGTGGGGAGAGGGCAGACGCACATGTCACGCTCATGGATGAGGGAGGGAGAGGGCATACGCACATGTCGCGCTCGTGGATGAGGGAGGGAGAGGGCAGACGCACGTGTGGCGCTCGTGGACGAGGGAGGGAGAGGGCAGACGCACATGTGGCGCTCGTGGATGAGGGAGGGAGAGGGCAGACGCACATGTCGCGCTCGTGGATGAGGGAGGGAGAGGGCAGACGCACATGTGGCGCTCGTGGATGAGGGAGGGAGAGGGCAGACGCACATGTCACGCTCATGGATGAGGGAGGGAGAGGGCAGACGCACATGTCACGCTCATGGATGAGGGAGGGAGAGGGCAGACGCACATGTCGCGCTCGTGGATGAGGGAGGGAGAGGGCAGACGCACATGTCACGCTCATGGATGAGGGAGGGAGAGGGCAGACGCACATGTCGCGCTCGTGGATGAGGGAGGGAGAGGGCAGACGCACATGTCGCGCTCGTGGATGAGGGAGGGAGAGGGCAGACGCACATGTCGCGCTCGTGGATGAGGGTGTGCAGCAGCGAGGGGAAGGCGTGCCCCATCTCCGCCACCGCCAGCGCCAGCAGGTCCGACGACTTGAGCTCCTCCACCTAACAGGCCAGGGGGGGGGGTAGGCAGGTGTGAGAGGTGGACGAGGGGGGGCGGAGGGGATAGTTTGGTTGCAGTGGGATGGCGCCATGTGCGGACTCCCCCACTCCCTGCACGCTTCAGTCTGCCTGCAACATGCACCACATGACCTCCTACCACTGACCTCCACTGAAACAGCTGTAGGTACACACCTGACAACACACCTGACAACACACCTGGCAGCACACCTGACAACACACCTGACAACACACCTGACAACACACCTGACAACACACCTGGCAGCACACCTGGCAGCACACCTGGCAGCACACCACACCTGTCAGTGCAGGTGGAATCACCCACGCAGTGCCCACTGCCACTCCTGTGTTTCACCCATTCATGCTTCCCTCTACGCCCCCCTCTAGGCCGCTCGCTTGCGCTGGTGCTGTGGCCCATGTGCCACTCCGAAACTCCAAGAAAAGAGAAAAGAGAGACTGGATTGAGAGGCCATGAAGCACAGGGAGGGACTGCCCCGCTGTTGACCCGCTGCTGCCATGCTGCACTGCTTGCACACCCCACCCACAGCCCATGCGCTCCAAAGGGTACTGCATTGACTGGCTTGGGCTCACCAGCTGGTCGAGCTCGGCCTTGGACGGCAGCCACAGCGCCTGCAGCAGCAGCAGCGCCACGAGCTTGAGGCGGTGCCAGCGGCTCATCATGGCCCACGTGCGCCGCAGGGTCACCTGCAGGGAAGCGCATGTGGGCGCACAGGGGTGGGCGCACAGGGGTGGGCGCACAGGGGTGGGCGCACAGGGGTGGGCGCACAGGGGTGGGCGCACAGGGGTGGGCGCACAGGGGTGGGCGCACAGGGGTGGGCGCACAGGGGTGGGCGCACAGGGGTGGGCGCACAGGGGTGGGCGCACAGGGGTGGGCGCACAGGGGTGGGCGCACAGGGGTGGGCGCACAGGGGTGGGCGCACAGGGGTGGGCGCACAGGGGTGGGCGCACAGGGGTGGGCGCACAGGGGTGGGCGCACAGGGGTGGGCGCACAGGGGTGGGCGCACAGGGGTGGGCGCACAGGGGTGGGCGCACAGGGGTGGGCGCACAGGGGTGGGCGCACAGGGGTGGGCGCACAGGGGATAGATCTGAATGCGGGCGCCTCGCAGCGCCATGAGCTGAGAGCGGATGGCCACGGCTCATCACTGCCCATGTGTGCAGCAGCGTCACCTGCGAGGGCAAGGCAGAAGACGGGAGTGGAGTGCGCATGCAGGTGGGGAGGGGCAGAGCAGATGGGAAGGCACGAAAGTGTCACGGAAGGGGAGAGGAGAGTGCAGCGCAGACGGAGGAACCGCGGAGCACCACTGGAGCACGGAGGCGGCTGTGAGCGGATGGAGCACTCAACGTGTGCATGGTGAGGGTGAATGAGGCACGATCGAAGCAAGCTGTGACGGTGCGATGCCACGCCACCCATCTCGATGCCACGCCACCCATCTTGTCCACTGCTTCTCTCCATCCCACCTGCACGGGCCTGCCTCTACCCCCACCTGCACGGGCCTGCCTCTACCCCCACCTGCACGGGCCTGCCTCTACCCCCACCTGCACGGGCCTGCCTCTACCCCCACCTGCACGGGCCTGCCTCTACCCCCACCTGCACGGGCCTGCCTCTACCCCCACCTGCACGGGCCTGCCTCTACCCCCACCTGCACGGGCCTGCCTCTACCCCCACCTGCACGGGTCTGTCCCCAAGCTTGACGACGGCGCCACACGCCACGGCCTCCTCGTAGGCCGCTCTGAACTCCGCCCCGGGGAACACCTCCATGCGCACCGCCACCTGGGGGACCATGGTGGGCGCCAGGCAGGAAACAGGGGGGGGAGGAGGGAGTGGGGGAAGGGAGAGGTTGGTGAGAAGAAAGAACAGAGCGGCAACACCGCAAGCTGCAGCCTTACAGAATGGTCTTGTTCTGCGGGCAGACGGAAGTCTGGCAGACTCGGAAACGAGGGAAGGTGGCCTCGAAATTTCGGCAGGTAAGTGGCGAGGTCCGGCTGCCAGGCGTGCTTGCGCAATTTCGCCCAGCGGATGGCAAAGGCGCGTGATTCCAAGTCACGCCCATGTGCAAACCACCAATTTGGTGGTCTGCTGACGGAAGCGAGTGGGGTTTCTGATTTGCCTGGCGGGGAAGGTAGTCAGGTGAGTTCGCCTTGGTTGATTCCGCCGACGGGTGTGGTGTGGGCGTTCTGCCGGCACTCTGATTCCGCCAGGCTCGGCACGGAATCACTAGGTTTGACATTTTTTTTCGACTGCCCAGACAACCGAAGCTAATTTCAGCGATTTGCGGCCTGCTGGCGGAAGATTCCCTCGACGGAATCACCTGCCCGCAGAACGAGGCCAACGAAAGGTCATCGTTGAGAAGCACGGGGGTGAGGCCCGCGAGCGAGATCCAGGGAGGGCGCCATTTGGTGGTGGTGGCAGTCATACATGGCAGCGGGTCTTGTACACACTGTGTTAGTAAAGAGAAATCTTGGTCAGAGGGAAACTCTTATATCAGCACAGACAAGGCCAAATCACGGAAGCACGACAGCATGTGCAGAGGTGAAAAGCGAACAAGAGACAGATGGTTATGCAGTGGTACCACACCTTGGCCAGCAGGTAGCCGTAGAGCACGGCGAAGGCATTGGACTTGTTGCTGCGCCACACTGAAATCAGCTCGGACAGGGATGGCACCTGGTGGGCGGCGAGCAGGGGGGAGAAAGGCCATATGTGTGGGCGGAAGGAGCCAATAGGAATGCGGGATACATGAGGGAGAGCCATGGTCACCTACTGCAGTCATGCCATGGCGTCACCATGCCTTCCATTCTGCCCTCGCCCAGCACTCTGCCCTCATCCAGCCCCATCCATCCTCAAGTGGGGGACTTGACAGGCTGTCGCCCGCAATCCCCTTCTTCTACTGCAGCATCGCATCCCTGAGTGCTTGAATGCGGAAAAGCTGAACAGTCGACCAGCTCACAAGTAAAACAGGCGATTAGGCGCTAGCTCACCTGCAGGTGGTCCATGGGCATGAGCATGGCCACGCGGTCGGAGCACACCTCCAGAAACACCACCTGAGGTAGTGAGAGATGCATGGGCACGCGCAACCGCAAGGACACATGAGCGTTGGTTGAGATAGGTGTAGGGGCAAAGGGCATGCAACGCGACAGGAGGCGAATGGCAAAAGAAAGGAGGTGAGAGCGCACGGTAAAGTGCATGTGCTGTGATGATAACATGGTTGATCAGCAAAGGCTAGCGACAAGAGCCTTCAAAAGACTTGCCACCATGGGTGGGGTGGGGGCGCAGGCAAGGTGGGGCCGCAATGAATGGAGGCCCCTGTGGTCCTGCGGATGGCATGCGCACGCATGGGCCCTCGTAGGTGACTTTTGAGTCGACTCAAAATTCATGCGCGCGCATGGGCCCTCGTAGGTGACTCAAAAGTCATGCGCGCGCACCTCGGGCACGCACCTCGGGCTTGACTTGCCGAATGATGCGCCGCACCTCGTTGCACGACTCCTGCCATGGATGGCAGCACGCGCACACATGAGATGGATGGCAGCACGCGCACACATGAGATGGATGGCAGCACGCGCACACATGAGATGGATGGCAGCACGCGCACACATGAGATGGATGGCAGCACGCGCACACATGAGATGGATGGCAGCACGCGCACACATGAGATGGATGGCAGCACGCGCACACATGAGATGGATGGCAGCACACGCACACATGAGATGGATGGCAGCACGTGCACACATGAGATGGATGGCAGCACGCGCACACATGAGATGGATGGCAGCACGCGCACACATGAGATGGATGGCAGCACGCGCACACATGAGATGGATGGCGTGCGCGTTGCACATGGTAGGTAGGCACAGCAACCACAGCATGCAACACAGCCAATGGCGCGATAGGACGATGGCAACGGTGGTATGTATGTGCAGCAAGACTGGGACCTTTTCACGTGAAACAAAGCCCACTACCAGTGCGGACCCTTTCGCAAATGCACCCTTTGTCCCAGTGGCACGAGAGTGAGTGGGGTACGAAACACGGGCAGTACCTTGGAGACATGCGCCGTGCCGATGAGGTACACGGAGCACTCAGCACCTGCAGCGCCCACACCGCTGCCACTCGTATTGCCACCACCAGCGCCACCACCGTCACCCCCGTCAGCAGCAGCACCGTCGCTGGCTGAAGCGCCCTGCCCACCCTCCTGCTTACCACGCCCCCCCACCCGCGGGCACGTCAGCACCACCACGTTGCTGCTCCCCGCTCCCTCCCCCGCCCCGCCCCCTGCCCCTGCTGCTCTCTTCAGCCCAGCCCCGCCCTGCACGCCCCCTACCCTCCCACATGCCAATGGTGCCCCTGGCGCCGCCCCCCCTCCCTCCCCCCACGCCCCCCGCGCTATGCGCTCCCTCATCTCCGCCACCCGCCCCCGCCCCCCACCACTCCCCCCCCCTTTCCCACTCGCACCACCCTCCGCTGCTCCTCCCCCCAATGGCCTTCCTCGCCCTGCCGCCCCCTTCCCTGAGTCACGCCCTGCAGCCTGCTGCCTCTGCCACACACCAGCACCAGCACCAGCCCCGAGCACAGGAGCGCTGCGGCCACTCCCTTGGAACCGTCCGCTAGCTGCTACCATTCGTGCACCTTCGCCCTGCCCCTGCCGCCTGTGTTCCTCGCCACCACGCTCGCCACCATGCTCGCTGCCATCGCCCTCCCCACCACTGCCATCGCCCTCCCCACCACTGCCATCGCCCTCAGCAGCAGCAGCAGCAGCAGCAGCAACAGCAGCAGACCCCCCCTGCTCCCACCGCTGCCTCAAAGATGCGAAACGACCTGGCTTGGGTGCAGCAGTAGGAGCGGGCTGAGAGCAGGGGGAGGGCGAGGGGGATGGAGGGGAGGGGCGTGGCACGGAAAGAATGAGCGAGGGAACGAATGAGCGAGGGAACGAACGAGCGAGGGAACGAACGAGCGAGGGAACGAACGAGCGAGGGAGCGAACGAGCGAGGGAACGAATGAGCGAGGGAACGAGAGGCAGTGCCAGGTGGGCGGACAGGAGAACTTTCAAAAGAGCAAGAAAACGGTTAGAAGAGGAAAGAGAGGTGCAAAACGATTGAACTTGGGGCATGCGGGGCATGTGGGATGAGGGCATGTTCGTGAGAACATAACGGGCAACAGCCACGCACATCTAGCCTGCTTCATGGTGCCCCGTGCTATACCCCACCCGTTTTGAACAACAGCAAACGCCCACCTGCTGAAGCTCCTTCCATGGTGGTGAGGCAGCAGCATGCGCTGCCCCACGCCCCTCTCTCTCCTCCGTCCCCCCTCCCTGCCACAACTGCACGCCTGTGTGCCCGCCCAACCCGCTCTCTGTGTCCACTGCACCCCCTGTGGGACGCATACCCTTCCCATGCACCATATCACCGCCTGCATCGCTGCCAGCACCGGCATGAGTATCAGAAGGAGCATGAGCAGCAGCACCAGCAGCCGCTGCACGTGCCACACTGCTCTCACACGCAACTCCTCGTTCCTCCACCTCCACCGCGCCCCTCTGTCTCCCACCCTCACCCCCCCCCTCCTCCCCTGCATGCCCCTCGCCGTGCCCCACCTGCCTCACGCCCACACCTCCCTCGCCTCCTCGCCTGCCTGCTTCCCACTCGCCCCGCGCCAACCCCCAGAAGTCCTCATCGGAGTCTGACTCCCCACTCCCACCCAGCCCGCCCGCCCGCTGCAGCTGCTGCCGCCGCCTCCGCGTGCTGGCCTTTGACCCGGCGCTGCGTCGTGTGGACAGCGGGGACACTGGGGGGCCACCAACGCCCCCTGCTATTGCTGCTGCTGCTGCTGCTGCTGCTGGCGGTGCTTTGTGTTGCCTTCGCCTTAGCTTCCTCTCGGTTGCTGCCAGGACTGGGAGGGTGGCAGCGGAGTGAGCACCACGTGCAATACGAAAACAAGTGGGTCCACTGACAGTTGAAACATGATTGGCACCTAAACGGGTGCACGGGCATGCGAGGCTCACCTGCGTCGTCCACGTGCGCGGTGGGGCGCCACACGCCCATGCTGTCAGCGCCATCGCCACTCGCACTGCCCGCATCCGTCACAGGGACGGCAGCAGCGGCAGCCACAGAGGCGGCGACAGCAGAGGTAGCAGCGGAGGCGGAGGCGGAGGCGGAGGCGGAGGCGGAGGCGGAGGCGGAGGCGGAGGCGGAGGCGGAGGCGGAGGCATCGGACATGGAATCAGCGGAGGACCAGAGGCGGAGCACCTGCGTGCTGCTCTGCCCCTCGTGTCTCGCCCTGTGTGCCGCACCCTGCCTTCCCATGTCCGCTGCAGCACCCGCTGCCTGTGGTGGCGCCAGCAGCTGCGAGGAGCCCTGTGACTCCCACCGCTCACTGCCCTCCCCGCCGCTGCCATGGCCCTGCACTGTGAAGCTCGGGTACCTGCTGTGCATCCCCTCCGTGCCCGCCCCTCCATCTCCATCCCCGCTCGTCTGCTCCCGCCCATCCCCCGTCGCTCTAGCTGCATGTGCTGCGCTGCCGCTTCTCCCCGTGTGCGCTGAGCGCGGCAGCAGCGCGACTGAAGGGGCAATGAGCTCCGCGGGGCCGCCTGGGGAAGCAGCAGCCACGGGTGGCGGCGCCACCACAGGCGTGCCTCGCAGCACTGAACCTAGCGCCTCCTCTGCCCCTCCGTGCGTCGCACCGCGCCACCCCCCACCGTCGCCTGCCAGCGTCGCCACGCCCTCCCCTGCACACTCGCCGGAGCCCTCTATCACTGCCGCCTCCACAGCACCCGCCACTGCCCGCTCGTCCCGCCTGTCTGCCCGCGCTACCCCGCGTTGCATCTCTCCCGCACCGTGCGCCCAGCCTTCTCGCCCGCTCGTGGCGTCCGACTGCGCGCCCTCCTCCGCGCTCCTTGCCGGCCCGCACGCGCCGCTGCTGGCGTTGCTGCTGCGCGAGTCCACGAACACGCCGTCCCCGCTGCCGCTGCCGCACCTCGCAACACCCTCGTCGCCTGACCCCCCGCCCTCCGCACTCTCGCCTGCCGCCAACCCGTCCGCCGCACTCCACGCTTCCCCTTGCCCAACCGGGCGCTCAGCACGCGCACGTGCCTCCACGTCAGCAACAGCAGCATCGGCCGCTGAGGCTGCAGTATTCGCAGCGGATGAATCCGACTGCGCGCGCCCCTCGGGGCTCCCCGCGTCCCCGTCCAGGTGGCGCAGGCCGCGGTACAGGTCTTCGAAGCCCCCCCCGCCCACTCCGGAGTTTCCGGGCAGCGGCGAGAGAAGCGGCGAGAAGAGCGGCGAGGCGGCAGCGCCCGAGGAGTCGAGCGGCAGAGCGACGGACCACCACGGAATGTCGCCGCTCGCGTCGCCCAGCGACAGATGATCGCCCGACGACGACGGCGTCGCGAGCGACGCCAGCGACACGCCAGCGGAGCCGTCGCCAACAGCGCCGTGTGCGTGCGAATCCGGATTTCCCGCGGCGGCGTCCATCGCCGCCTCCATCAGATCGCGCATCGAGCCGCGGCTGCGGATAGGTGTCCTGCTCCCATTGGCCAGCCCCCACCTGCTGCCCGTGCCGCCAGCGCCGCCTGAGCGACCGAAGGAACGGTTGGCAGCCGGCCACTTCTTAGCGGCGTCAGTTGGGCCCTTGCCGGCCCGCTTCTTGGCATCGGCGGTGCCGTCGCCATAGGAGGTGGGCATGGGGATGGTGGAGCGCGTGCGGTGTCCACCGAGGGACGGACGCTTGACGTGACCGGCACCGCCGACTGGAAGGTTGCCGGGAGGTGGAAATACGGTAGGGTGGAGCAGGAGGTGTGGATGAGACGGATGGAGCGAGGGACGAGAATGAGTCGAGGAGCTTGCAGCGAGGGATACGGGCGTGGACTTGTGACGGTGTGGAATCGCAGTGCGTGTCCAAGGGACGAGTAGTGAGGCACAAGCAAGGGAACGCAAGGGAAGGGGGGTGGTGGGAGAATCGTGCCCTGGCCCAGAACCTAGGCGGAGACTGGGTGGACGAACGAGGCATCGAGAACCGTTCACCGGTTCATCTGGGATGCTGGCGAGAGCCGCGTTCACCGGTTTCACAACCACGGGGTCAGGTCACTCGGTTCACTCCTCGGTTCACTCCTCGGTCCATTCCAGCTTCCCAGGCGAGAAGCCAGGAAACCCAGAAGCGGCGCCTTCGTGAAGGAAATACGCCCCTGGCGCCAGGATACACGCGAAACCAGGCAGGTCAAACTCCGGTCGGATCCACTGGTGAATCGGCATCCCCGGCAAAATACAAGTACACTGCCTGCATGTGCTGTACCGAAATCTTTAGACTGGAGAAAAATAAAACGAAAACATAAGACCAAAGGCATCACGCGCTGGAGGACTTCCGAACCTGACAGAAAATACAACAGTAGAGCCTACTATCCACGGCATGCTTTGGCGTTTGCTACTTGGCCTGTGCTACTTGGCCTGAGCTACTTGGCTTGAGCCTTGGCCTGTTGCTGTTGGAAGGCGGCGATGCGTCGACGCGCCACAGCAGCGGCGTTGGAGCGGCGGTAGTCCTCCGCCTCCTCCTCCCACCGCGGCCGGTGTCGCTTCTCCTCCTTCTTGTCCCACTCTATGGCTCGCCGCAGCGGCAGCGCCACCAGGAACACCTGCCAGGATGGGGTGGGGAATGGAGGGGAGAGGGATGGGACCGGATTGCATCAAGCACACGAAGAGGGCGAGGGTGGAGCAGAAGAGGGAGCGGTTGGGGAACGCTTGAGCGGGTCGAGGGATGCCGGGGGTTGGGGGGTTGAGGGGGGGTGGAGGGATGGAGGGATGCGGGGGGTAGAGGCGGAGAGAGTGCACCTGCAGCGCAAGCACGAAGGGGATGAGCAGCTTGCCGCTGCGGTTGGGGTTGAAGCCGCGCGCCATGCGCTCGTCCACGCGCACCACCGGCTGCCGCCGCAGCGCCGCCGCCACTATGGCGTCCACCAGGTGGGGGAACCACGCCTGGCCGCTGGGGAGGATCTGCAGGATGCAGAGAGTCCAAGGGAGGGGCAAGGTACAAGCGATGCACGCTTGAGAGGGCAGAGGGCGATAGAGGTGTGCCAAGGAGAATGGGGAGAAGACAAGGATAGTCCACAAAAGCGCAGGTATTTCACCCCCTTTGTGGCCCCAAGTAAGAATGCGTGCATGAGCCCAGGAGTTACCTTCTCGCCATCGTCGTTCGTCCGACACCGCCCCTCCATGTTCTCCACCAGCGCCACCGGCACCTGCCATGCCATGCCATGCCATGCACACACGACAGCAAATGTGAAAGCAGCGCAATCAGGACGCCATAGAGGAAATTGAGCCTCGGCCCGACTCTCCCCACGAAGGCTATGATAACAGACCAGACCCCCTGCAGCAGCAATCCCACAACATGATGCGGCATGCACACCCCCTCCCCAATCCAAACTCGCACCCGGTATCCCACTACCCTCCTCCTCCCTCACACTCCAGCCCCCCCCCTCACCTCCTCGCCCTTGACCATGCGCCCCTGCCTCCTCATTATCCCCACCAGTGCATCTCACCACCAACCATAAAAAATGCGCCATCCCACCCACCCACCCACTCCCCCCACACCCGCACACCGCCCTCACCTGGTCGCCCCTGCCCAGGCGGCCCTGCTTCCTGATCACGCCCAGCAGCGCATCTGAGCGCGCCGCAACGAAGTCGGGGAACGGGCGGCCGTCCGACGGGGACAGCTGCGCGCGCGTGAGCACGAGCACTGCGCGCCGCCAGATCTGAGAAGCACCAAGGGGCGCGGCGGGAGGGGAGTGCGCAGAGGGAACATGGTGGGGGCGCACGTTGAAACCAAGGGGCGAGGAGGGTGTCGGGAGCACTATGAAGTTGAGAGCTTAGCTTAGGGCGCACAGGTTGGGAAGCGGTGGGCTTGGAAGCGGTGGGCTTGGAGGCGGTGGGCGGGGAGGCGGTGGGCGGTGAGCATGAGAGGCACGGGGGAGAGGATGAGCAAGACGGTGCGGGCGGGGCGAGGAGCGGGATCCCGCAGAGGCGCGCGAGGATGCGCCATGGGAAGCGAGCAGACAAGTGGGAGGAGATGGGGAGGGCATGGGCGGGGAAGAGAGAGTGAGAAGGGAGGCGGGGCGTGAGGCGGGGGGGGGGGGGGGGGAAGGGGGGGGGATTGAAGGCGCACCTGGGGGCCGAAAGCCTGGCTGATACCCTGAGCGACGAGCGCGTCGATGGTGTCGACACGGTACGCGTCCAGGCGGTCCACGTACAGCAGCACGTCCACCGTGCGCCCCACCAGCGCGCTGACATGCGAGAGGGGGAGACAACACGGGCGCATGCGAGCATGAGCGCACACAGTGCCGCCGCGCCCAGGCAGTGCACGTGCAGCAGCACGCCCACGGTGCGCCCCACCAGGGGGCTAGGGGCCGAGCGAGGCGAAGGGGAGGAGGGGCCAGAGAAGTCTGGATGGAGGTGGCCATGGCAGGCCGGCAGGGCCGGTGCGACCACATCGTGGCACGGGCAGGGCCGGTGCGACCACATCGTGGCACGGGCAGGGCCCGCATGGATCGCAGTGGCATGGCATGCTGCCCTTTGTGTGCCGCATGGCATGTGTGCTGCTGCATGGGTGGGGTTTAGATTCTGTTGTCTGACACTCCGTAGGGACCCACTACGGGATTTCGTTGCCAGCCGCGAGCTTCACCGTGCACGCATGCTCAGCACGGTGCTTGCAGGCACTGCTCCAAGCGCGCACGGACTCACTGCAGGATCTCGTCGATGGCGGCGCGGTTGACGGTTCCGGCGTCCACGAGGCCCGGCGTGTCGATGACGTGCAGCGTCGCTCCGCCATACGCGCGCACGGCCTCGCGCGGGTGCGGGGACGCCTGGAAGCCGGACGTGGGGAAGAGGCGCTCCCCCAGCAGCGAGTTCAGCGTGGCGCTCTTGCCCACGCTGCCCTTGCCCAGCGCCACGATGGTCACCGTCTCCTTGCCCTGCTCACGCGTGCGGAGAGGGAGGGGGGCGGGGCGGTGTGGGGGGCACACGGAGGCAGAATGAAGCAGCGAGGGCGTCGCGCTCTTGTCCAGCGCCAGTATCGCCGCCCTCTACTGGCCGCGCTCGCATGCGCACGCGCTTGCAGCACACGGCAGAGGGAGCGGGGGGGCGGGAAGCGGAGGAGGATGGGGTACGGTGGGGCTAGGGAGTGGTGCGGGACGCAGCGGCAGGCGCAATGGCGGCAGCCGTGACCGTCGATTCTAGCAGTCCCACGGCCGACACGCCACGCCTTCTCAACTTGCCATAAAACGGCTTTATTCTTCAGATCCTCGCACTCCCAGCACCGCTGGCTCCCAGCAAGTCGGCCTCTGAGTCGGCGCGGGCCGCGGCAAGAGGGACCTGCGCTCGGACCAACGGCCATCGACATGCTGAACGCCCCCTCCGCGTGCGCTGATTTCAACGCCTTAGGACGACCCGAAATAGGACCAACGTAACGCTCTCGAGCGACCCGACAGGTGCGAGACCCGACCCACTGCTGTAGAGCAGCTCACAACGCGCACATGCTTACAAGTTGACAGGACGATATGGCACGACACAAGCGAGAAGTGGAGAATGCGAGAGCATCAGCCATGACGGTGCCATGGAGAACTACCGGCAGCTGCACACCTGAGACGCACCCAGTCAGCCCTGAACGTGCACTTGATTCCACCCTAATCCACCTGCTAAGCAAGAAACAAACCAGCCGTGCCTGCTCAATTAGGCGGTCGATCGCCGAGGTGATGGCGGACCGCGACACTTCCGCCTGCTGCTCCACTGCCGCCCACTCCTGCGGCTGTGCCGGCTGCGCTGCCATGGAGAGCGCGTCGCTGCACCAACAAGTGCCACAAGCGGATCGGACGAGAAAGGCCGCTGTGGCTGAGATATGTCGGCGGGAACCGGTACTGAAGCAAATTAATCGACGATGTACTAAGCGGCGAGGGAGAGAAGTAAACCCTAGACCGCTGACCAGGATGGTATGGTAGACTAGGCGCTGAAGTGGATGTGCTTGACTCGCCGCGGACTGAATGATGGGTTTGCCGCGTGGCGACTCGTGAGGGGATGAGCGCGAGAAAAGTGTGGTAATTCATTTGGTAGGAAATGTCTTATTAATGTGCAAGATGAGCTCTCACCTAACAATGAGGTATAACCATTCTGTACCCTACAACCATCTGGAAACATTATCTGGTTATATGTTAGCAAACTGTAGTGTCCGCAAGAAGGCGCATTGTGTATGTTATGAACTAATCAGAGTAATCACAGGTAGTGTAATAAAGGAGTCGTGATTCAAGAGTGTCGATACAAATGAGGGCCTAGGCATTTATAGGCACGGACAAAGCTAGCCAAGAACCACGCGAACAGGTTGGGGCGGACCGATTGGCGCGAAAGCTACAGAAGCGCCGCACGTCTAGGTTTGAGTTTGCGAAGTGGTTCGGGACCGAAGAAGTTGGCCGGGCCTGGACTTCCGAGAGTTGAGGGCATACGCGCTGTAGCCGAGCCCAGTAAGGAAAAGGGAAGTTCCTTACACCAACCCCCCTTCCGGGATGAGACTACCCACATTCGGGACACGTCGTCGGTGTAAATAGTCCCGGACAACTCTGTTTTCACCGAGCGCCCGTCGCGCCTCCTAGCCCAGCCGCGCCCCTCCTGGGCCCTTCGCGCCTCCTAGCCCAGTCGCGCCCCTCCTGGGCCCCGTCGCGCCTCCTAGCCCAGCCGCGCCCCTCCTGGGCCCGTCGTGCCTCCTAGCCTAGACGCGCCCCTCCTGGGCCCTATCCCGCCTCTTAGCCTCGTCGCGCTCCTCCTGGGCCCTGCCGCGCCTCCTAGCCCAGTCGTGCCCCCCCCCCTGGGCCCTGTCGCGCCTCCTAGCCCAGCCGCGCCCCTCCTGGGCCCTTCGCGTCTCTTAGCCCAGTCGCGCCCCTCCTGGGCCCCGTCGCGTCTCCCAGCCCAGCCGAGCCCCTCCTGGGCCCTAGCGCGCCTCCTAGCCCAGTCGCGCCCCCTTCCGGGCCCCGTCGCGCCCCTCCTGGGCCCCGTCACGCCCTTAGCCCCGTCGCGCCCTGCCCGGCCACGTCGCGACCGCCTGGCCCCGTCGCGCCCTGCCCGGCCTCGTCGCGCCCTGTCTGGCCCAGTCGCGCCTGCCTGGCCCTGCCGCGCCTGCCTGGCGC